ATGCCAATGTGTTTGTATCATCCACACTTCACTAAATGTGAATATTAAAATAGGCACAACGCATCATACCTGCTGGTAGAAGGATTAAGCCCATGTCTCTGGAGATTTGTGGGCTTTCAAATGACAAACACATTCAAAAGGAGCAAAGGGGATGGGCAGGAGCAGACTGCTAGGTGCCAACTTCCTTTGTCCTTTCTGGCCTAGAAGTATGGTACCACCTGGCAAAACAAGCACAGTAACTTTGGGGTGATGCACCTTAAGCTGCCGTATCAATTAATTCAGGACTTTTTTGGGGAGGGGGTGAATGTCAGTGGTCAGCAGTTGTGCTGCCACAGCAGAGGGCAAAATCCTCCCAACACCAGAGTATCGTGTGATGTCCTAGCACAGGTGTCCAGCCAGCCTACAGCGTTCACCCCATGCCTGCCAAAGGGCCATTCCCGCCTGCCAGACCTCCTTGTCCCCAGGCTGCCACCAGCAGGGCCCACAGAAAGTGAGACAGCCATTACCTAGAACTGCCCGGAAACAGTGGGCCTGTTCCAGTGAAGGAGTGGGATGAAGCGAACCAGCACGAGAGCTTGTAAAATTTCAAACACCTCCGGGAAAGCAGAGAGGATGCATAACATGGCCTTCTCCATCCCACCACCCTGCCCCACAGCTGCTCGGCTGTCTCACCTGCTCTCAGACAGGCTTTCTGTGCTTGAGGAGAGGAGCCTTCTGCTTACCCTCCGTGCAGACCTGCGTCCTTTGGGCAGGCCGTGTGTGCGCAGGGGGTATCACAGAGACTACAGACGGAGCAGCCCTATCTAGCCCTAGTGCCACCCCACAGGGCGGAGCTCGGTGGGGAGAAAAGCAAGTGAAAGAAGGCGAGAAAAAGAGGAGGAGAGCTGAACAGGGGGCCGGACGGTGGGAAGAGCAGAGACGCAGGGAGGGAGGGAGGGAGGGAGGGAAGGAAGGAAGAAAGAAAGCGGAAAAAAAAAGGAGGAGAAAGGGGAGGAGATGAAAGGCGAAGGGAGAAGGGCGGACGGGGCGGGGAGGAGGCGAGAGGCCGGGGAGGAGAGGCGGGAGGCGGCTCGGCAGAGAGGGACGGGACGGGACGGGACGGGACGGGAGCGAAGCGGACCCAGCGCCCCG